CTGATAGGCGTGTAGTTTCCGGAAAGGGTGATTGACCAGCAGCAGCAGCAGCAGCAGGGGAGGAAGCGGGATTGTCAAGGTCACGGGGACGGAGGGCAATTGTTGGCACGGCAGACCGAGGTACTGGACGTGTGGTTGATCCGACATCCGCTCGGCCGTTCACCAGGCGCAGTTGTGGCCCTTCCAACTTAGATCGTTGATCGGAGACAACTGGGCGAACCCGCGGAGCTGTGAGGATGTAGTTCATGTTCTTGCTGCGAGAATGTGATAGGTCAAGAGGGGTCTGATGGTCCGACACTCTGTCAGGAGATAATTCCGCTCGGTCATTCTGTGAAAAAAACGGGGAGGCAAAAGTTAGATGGCTCGCACCAAAGCTCTGTGCATTTAATAGCGCCGTTAGCCTTCAGTTACGTCTTGGCAAGGAAGGCCTGAGAGAACTTCATTTTCTGGCTACATTTTTCAAACTTCCTATCAGGCGTGAAGAACAGAGACACGGTACGTCGTTTTCTTTCTTTATAAAATTCGCTCAGGTAATTTGCAATTGCGGATCTACGTAATTGCGGGCAATAACGTGGATTTGCATTCACAATTTCAGATGGCTGTGGGTTATAGTATCGCAGACTTTGGTAAAAAGGATGTGGGCCAGGTAAAAATTCAGCAGTGTTCGAACATGATGCTCCTGGCTAAACCGCTACTCAGACCAAAAATATGGCAGGACAGGTAAATCTTAAAACCCACCGACGACTGCTGGCACTGACCACTGCTCGAAACCAAACCAAAGCCAAGTGAGTAGACCTAGAATTACTCGAGTCATGGTTCACGGGCCCCCAATCCACAAACAAATGCAAGGATTTGTCCAATCCATATTCGGTGCTGATAATCAATTTGGCCAAAGACAGTCGCCATTTGGGGAACAGACAGGCCACCGCGTCATCATACGCCAACACCGGAGGGCCAGATGGCCGAGCAATCTTCACACCCGACTCTATCACGCGTGATGAAAGTTCAGCAGGTCAGAGCCCGCATGCTTTTGAACAAACTATCAACATGCAAGAAAGCGATTAGCGTTAATTGTCGTTGTGTGTTTGTAGTTATGACTGTATCCTATAAATACTGCACGCTCCTCTGCATACGCTACCCGTATCTGTTACTGCTATCTGACTATGTCTCTGATGACGAATCTGCGACGGATTTCGAAAATTCAGGTGAATAAAAGTATTGTCCCAGCGATCGAGTCGTCTTCTTCTCGGACCTAATACTCATAGCAATGGATTCCTTGCATTGCCGAAAATAGTTAAAACACAAATCAGGGCAAGAATGATTATAAAGGCCATAAAAATCCCGTCAACCTATAATAACAAACTACTTTCAAATGTTCGGTAGCCTGACTTTAAATTTTTTAGTTAAATTCCACTAATAGGAGGACGAATTTCCATTTTCTTTAAATTCCGCCTACATAAGGTCAAGTGTCCCTCGATTAGCATTCGTATTTTACGCAATAGAAGTTTGAAGCATAGTTTTCCCGGTGAGAACTTGAAAATAGTAATGCAAAAT